CAGTTTCCATCGTTCTCCATGATTTTCCATATGTTTTCCATCTGTTTTCCATCATTTTGCATGATTTTTCATAATTATTCATCATGTTCATGAATTTTCATCATTTCCATCGTGTTTCATCATTGTTCATCATTTTTCATCATTTCATGAATTTTCATCATTTCCATCGTGTTTCATCATTGTTCATCATTTTTCATCAGTTTCATGAATTTTGATCTTCTTCACGATTCTCATCATGTTTCATGATTGTCATCTACTTCCACCATTTCTCATAATATTTTCACGATTTTTACGAGTTTCATGACTTGTCCACGTTTGTTTTCATCATTTTCATATTTCGTCGTGGCTGTTTATAAATTGATATTTTGTTGATCCTTCCGCCGAAATGCTAATTTTTGTTGATCCTGAATAAATTCTTTGTTTGAGACCCCACCCTTGTTTTCTTCTGCCACTGTACATACTCTTCAGGAGACCAGAAGGCTGTGTTTCTGCGCTGTCTGTGTTTTCCCTTCTGCCTGAAACTCTAATCTGACGCAACGGGCTAGTCAGTCTGCCAAACAGTTCTGTACATGTGTCTGTCTTGTGTCTGGGCTTCCGCCCTTTCTGCTCTCTGTCCGAACGCCTGTCTCAGGCCTGCCTCCTCTGTCCGCCTGACTTCTGCCTTCGTCCCTGGCAGAAAAACTCGGCACCGCGCGCACTACAGCTTGTAGCAAAGCTCTACCTACATCGCTGACGCGAGCACAGACGGGCGCTGCCCGACTTCGAGGCTGACGTCAGGGGCGAACAACGGCAGAGAGCAAATTGCATTCAGCTTCCTGAAGACTTATCAAGGCCGCGCTTGGCGCGTCCCAAACGTTCGACGGGGAATCAAACGTCACAGAAGTCCGCATAAATCCTGGCCAAGAGCGCGCGGGGCAAGCCTGGAGATTCAAAAACGGGCCTCCAATGATGCCTGTGATACTGGCCCCTTGGCCTGAATCATCTTTGCGGGGCCGTGTCTTGGAGTTCTCTTGGAATTTTTTGAGCGGTTGGAGCGCATGTGAATTTGAGCCTGGTTTCAAGGTGGGGTCCGGGAAGGCCCCTTGGAGCAATGGGTCTGATGATGCGGGGAAAAAGCATTTGGCGGCTGGAGGCCCATTTCACGGTTCTTAAAGAAAATTCTCCTCGGAGCCCGGGGTTCAGATAGCTGCTTGGGTGTGAGCTGCTTCAGGCAGATGCGGCTGGGGCAGCCCGTGGCTAGGGCTGTAAGGGAGGCGAGGCGTGATTTTCACCTTCTGTCTCCTCTGACCCGTCAACGCCCCCCCAAAGGTCGGCAGATGTTTGTCGTCAAATTGTGAAGCTCGCTTCAGTACGTCCTGCAGCTGAGGTCGGCTTTGGGTTTTCGCGCAGGCAAACTCAAGATTCCGTCATTTTCCGGAGCCCGCTGTGAAGCCAATGGTTGCTGCGCTGCTGCGCGACATGTTTGACCACTGCAGCAGCCAGGATATGGAGGTATGCGGGGCAGGCCTATATGCTGTGCTGTACTTCGTTGGCATCTCTTCGGCGCCGCTTCAGGAAGCAGCCGCTGCAGGCATCCTGAGCCTCATGAAGCAGAACATGCAATCTCCAGCCAGTTTGTGGGGATGGTATCACAAAAGAAGTGCATTGAAATGTTTGAGCCGCGCCTGCAAAGCTTTGAGCACAGCCCGAAAGCAAGAATGCATGGCCCTGTTGGCGTCGATGTTAGAGCTCGAGCCGGACTGGCAGAGACAGCTGGACATCATCTCTGAAATGCAGATCTTTTGTGGAGCTGTCGCAGATTCTTGGCTTACCTATACAGCAACTGCCCAGCAGCTGGCGCACATGGAGCGGTCGGATGCGGTGCATGGCGAAGTCCGTTGCCGACTGTTCGAGCTGTTCTGACTTTGGCGAACCGTCATGTCGTGTGATTTAGAAAGCGTGACCGGTGCCCAACCAACACATCACCATTGCTCTGTCACTGTGCAGTCACCATGTAGACGCAATTCCTGGCGGCATGCATTTCCTGGCTCACCCTAGCGAATTTGTAGAACCACGTTGCAGTTCTCAGAATCACCGCAAGGTTCACCATATGAATCCTGAGTCATGTGATACTTTGCATTAGGCAGGAAGCGGATGAAGTCACTCGATCCGCAGAACGTAGCTCAAGCTCGCAATCAAGGAAGGACTGGCTCCTTGTAGTAGTTCCTATTCATGGATAAAGATTGCCCAAGCGGTGAACAGGCCGGGCCTGGATTTTTTTTTGGCAGCGGCCTCGCTGTGCAACGTTGGATTGAGGTTTCTCTGTGCTCTTGGCGAGGGTTGCTCCCCAAACTCCGGACAATAAGCCTCAAACGACCTGCGGAGCTTGAATTATTGCCAGACATTATATATATATATATTCACCAACATTTTTCCTCTTGAGTTGAGGGCTAGGGTAAACTTGCATCCTTTCCACTAGCAGCCCCTACAACAAGAAATATTCCTCCCAGTACTTAATGCATTCCCAAACCCTCAAGAGGGTTTTTGATTTGGGGGCCCTACATTCTAACCTTATGTCATACGTACACCTAAATAGTAGTTTCCATGTTCTGTTCCATTTTCCCTATATAACACCAACATACTAACAAAATGACTGGGCCACCTGAGGAGATTAAGCTGGAAGCCTTGGGTTGAGCTAAGCCTTAAACCCTGAGCCCAAAACCCCTGAACCCTAAACCATGAGCGTGCTTCAGGAGCGCCAAGCAGGCTTCAACGCGAAGCTGCCGCCAGCCAGACCTCCCCAGGCCGGTGGTTTAGGGTTTTAGGGATTAGGGGCCTTTGGTTCAGGGTTTAGGGGTTTAGGGTGTAGGGGTTCAGGGTTTAGGGGGTTAGGGCTTAGGGGCTATAGGGCTATAGGGCTATAGGGTTTAGGATTCAGGGTCGAAGGTTGAGGTTTTCCCATTACTAACTTACTGCGTTCTCTTGCTTTCGAGAACTCCCTCTGAGCCTGCAGCTCTCGGTGAAAAGCCGTGCCTTGTGGTAGGAACATGGGATTCGGAGTAGTAACTCTTATAGCTGCTCATTCCTAGACCACCCTATGGTAGCCCCCCAACATCGCAACTGTAGTAGTGTTACACCCGCAGCATGTGTCCTACGTCACTGTCGAAAACCGCCACTAACGATGCAGCTTACCATCGGACCCATCTCTGACATTCGTCGGGGGGGAGCTCTCACAATGGGAGTAGCTTCTTCACTACATCCACTCCTCTCATGCAGAAAAGAAAGCTTAGATAGCCCTTAATCATTTGTGGTGTCGATTCTTGGGGAGGCCGAGTAACAGGAGTTGTAGTATGGAGAACCCTAAACCCTAGACCCTCAACCGTACCTAAACCCTAAGCCCTAAACCCTACCTAAAGCCTAAACCCTACGTTGAGGTTTGGTGACATGCAGGGTGCATGTATGTGAGCCTAAGACTTCCAGGAGGCACAAGCAGATGAAATGGTGGCCATGACAGTCATCTTCGGGGGGGCTGAGGTTGCACAATCTTGTTCCAGCCGTTAGAGCGTAGGCTAACTAGCGAAAATATCTGTTTCTGTGAAGCAGAAGTTATTAGAAGCCGCGGTATGCAAGTCCTGCAAACTTTGCGCAACTCTACGCTTTACAGTCCGTCTAAAGCTCTCCCTTTTGAACTTTGGACAAGGGTCGAAGAAATCCTGCAGCATTGCTATATGAAACTCTGACTTAGCGTGCATGAAGCCTTTAACCGTTTCCGGGTAGTTCACACAAGTGAGGGTCCCTTAAACAAATCCTGGTACCTGGGAATCCTTGCAGTACGACTCCGCAAAATGATGTCCAGAAACATCCCGCAAGGCATTTTCCATATAGCCTCTGATAAGGACTTTCGCAAACTCCCCATGTTGTCATGGCAATCGAAACATGCAGTAGATTCTCTACGTTTATTGTGGTTTGCAGCAGTGCTCACAGTGTCCCAAGTATTATTGGAAGCCCAAGGTTAAGATCCTAAACCCTTAAACCTAAGCCCTCGGTCAGTGAGAGCCTCAGATATCTATTCACACAACCACCCAAAAATTCCCTTGCCTTTGTAAACTCCTTCGAAATCATCTTTGGGTGGGGCTCAGCAATGGCACCATGACATTGCCTCCCTCTCCGTTTATGAGGCATCATCATAGGATACCACGCCCTAAACTGTACTTGGAGGGTCTTGAAGACTTAGTAAATAGGTTAATAACCCTATAACACATATAGTAACTCTAGTTATCCCCATTATTAACCCATTTAATAAGTCCCCCTGACCCAAAACCTTAAACCCCAAAACCCTAAACCCCAAAACCCTAAACCCCATACAACCCGAGCCCATATCCTAAGCCGATAGGCCTCCACTCAGAGTAAGAAGCTCTTCTTGGCGAGCATCCAACTCTCTGGATTTTCTTTCAGGGCGAGGCAGCCTCTTGGAATAATGGAAAATCAAATGGAAACTGCTATAGAATATTGGGGGTATATAGGGATAATGGAAAAGAAAATGGAAACTATTATATTATATATTTTCGTGTTTAGGGCTAAGAGCTGGGTTTAGGGGTTTGAGGTTTAGGGTTTAGGGGTTTAGGGTTTAGGGGTTTAGGGGTTTAGGGTTTAGGGTTTAGGGGTTTAGGGTTTAGGGGCTGTGGGCTCAAGGTTTAGATTTGTTGGACCTAGGGCTTAAGGTTCAGGGTTTAGGGCTTCGGTCTTCGGGGCCTGTAGGGCCTAAGATTGAGGGTTTAGGGCTTCGGCTCAAAGGTTAGGTTTACGACAGAGGAGCTTAAGGCTTCAGGTTTAGGGGTTACGGCATAGGGTTACATGGCTCGGGGGTCTCTTTGAAGGGGGTCTCCGCCTGCCAAGGGGCACCAGGGATCCGATGTCTCTATATATATATATACACACATAATATACTATATACATAATATATTTATGGGCCCTGAAAATCCAGAGACGGTTTCCTTTATGTCCGGAACAGGCGTTTTTAGATTCATGGTCCTGTTTGATTTAATGCTATTGCGAGTGTCACCAAGTGCTTTAGGGAGCACAGCTTGACCAGCGCAACATGTATGATTCTGATGGCGGTACACAACCTCAGGAGGCTGCAGGGGAACTTGCCAGCCTGCTAACAACACCATCATGTACCATGTTATCATGATTCCCGTGAATGAAATGCGCGCACGCGATTTCACGCGTGATTTCGGCACACAAAACGCTCAATAGATTTTCAGGCGCGCTAGGGGTTCCCCGAAACCTGAGCGGACAGGCTTAACACTGGGTTTCACGTCTTTTCATTTCGCTTTCATGCCGTTTTCACGCTTTTGTGTGCTTTGGCCATTTGCTTCCACTTCCTGGGGTCAAGGCAAATTAGGGGTGTGAAGGAGGCATGGTGGGTGTGAATCGCTTCTTGTTTCTTGCGTGTTCTGTGCTCAATTGTTCTCAGCCAGCAAACCCCGACAATCTGAACAAAGCATTCACAGAAATATTAACACAGACTGTCAGGCTCATGTAAGTTCATTCGTCAAGAAGGGTATACCGGTGCTAGTAATGTGAGTTCCAAAACAGGCTCTGGATAGGTAAAAACAGTACTAGACCAAAGCCCGTGCTCAGCCTTTGATTCTCAGGGAGGACTCTAAGGGACGTTATCAAGCAATACCAACCTAAACCTAAACCCTGAACCTACAAGCGCTTTGGGTCCCCTTGGCAGCAGGGCATGCATGGGGCTAAGGGTCTAAGGCTAAGGTGCTAGGGTTCAGGGTTTAAGGTTCTGAGCCTGCGTACATGTCAATAAGAGAACTGGGATGCTTTATGCAGTTGTTTCAGCTTTCTATGCAGGCTTCAGACTTTTTTGCAAGGGTCTGGGGTGCTCTTCACTCTAGGGTTCTCCTGTTCATTCTGGGCTCCTACTGCTCCAACCTGTGACCCGCTGTATCCCAGTGTTTCAGTGGGCACGTAATCAACCCTAAACCCTTTTGGGCACTTTCATCCGCAGGGTATGGGTTCAGTTGGCCTCTCCTCAAGAAGTCCCTGCTGTGCTTATCTTACTGGTTGTTCCTAGACCCCAAAAGTATGTAAAATAATGGAAAAGAAAATGGAAACTACCATATTATTTAGGGTTTAGGGTTTAGGACCCCAAAAGTATGCAAAGTAATGGTCTATGTGGCTATTCTTATGGGTTTAGGGCTGTTATTTAACATACTTTGGGGGTTAAGGTTGGTATGAATGGATGAAAATGTCCCTGTAGCAGCCGCGACACAATCCCCAGCATTATCGTAGTAGTTTCCATTTCCTTTCCATGCCTTCCTTCACGACAAGACCACAAGCAAGTTATGCACTGGAAGACCTTCATAAGCTGCAAGCTTGTCATGTTCATCGCTGCTCCCAAAGTGGCAACCTGATCCTTGTAATCTGAAACCCTAAACCCTAAACCCAAGATCCCCATAAGCTCCCAAGCAGGTAAGACCCTTCTAGATTCTAGGAGCCTTTGTTTTCTCTTACAGTACCCTTTGCAGGAGTCGTTCCTGAGGGGTGGTAGTTCAAGCAGGAGCCAGTTCCCTAAGCCCTAAAGCCCTAAGCTCTAAAACCCTAAACCCTACTTATAGACACCCGCCAGAGGTCTTTGAGGGACTCAGGGCTGCTCAATGTCCTTGGCAGTCACCTGCCTTGAGGTTCTTTCTTGGGCCTTGGAGCTTAGCAGGGGTAGGTTTGCAAATCTTTTGTTTTTTTATTACCCTTAATTCCCATATAATCCGTATAAAGCCATAGGAAAATTTACTTTCATAGGGGCCCCTTGAGCTACCCTACTTATGGTGAAGGTCAGGTTAGGGGTTGGAGTTACAGATACCTGGGTTTCCTAGGATTATCGGTCGTGTTTTGAAGGTCCCCATGGT